TCCCAGCCACTCTCTACCGGGACTCCTTCACGGCTCAGGCTCAACTGGAGATCATCGATCTGCGCTACAACATCTTGCGCAGCATCGACAGCCAGGCCTTCCACGGACTGAGCAAGGTCAGGGAAATCAAGCTGGCTGGCAATCGCCTCAGCCATCTGAACAGCGACGTCTTCGAGCAGCTGCACACACTGCAGAAGCTCGATCTGTCGGAGAACTTCTTTGCTCAATTTCCCACGGTGGCACTGGCTGCAATCCAGGGGCTCAAGGCCCTGAATCTATCCTCCAACATGCTGCAGGTGAGTTACGATGATGCAATTGATAGACTCTCTTACAATTTCGAGTACAGAGTATTGCACAATTGATGACACTCTTCATTTTCTGTCTGCTCTAGCAACTGGATTACACCCACATGCAAGTAGTCAAGTCTCTGGAGAGCCTAGACCTGAGTCGCAACAGCATAACGAGCATTCCGCCTGGCACATTCCGGGATCAGACCTCACTCAAGTATCTGGATCTCAGTCTCAATTCGCTGCGCACGGTGCGTATACATAATATATAAATACACATAGTAAGAGGAAGAGAGAGAGTGAGAGACTAAGGTAATTTCCTTCGTTGCAGATTGAAGACGACGCCTTGGAGGGTCTGGAGAGTCTGCAAACGTTGATCATCCGGGACAATAATATTCTGTTGGTGCCAGGCAGCGCTTTGGGTCGTCTGCCCCAGCTGACCTCACTGCAAATGGACTTCAATCGCGTGGCAGCGCTGTCGTCGGAGATTCTCGGCTCTGTCCAGGCGAGCGACATTACCACCTTGTCGCTATCTCGGAACGTTATCCGAGAACTGCCGCCTGGCAGCTTCCAAATGTTCAGCAGTCTGCACACACTGGATCTGTCGGGCAATTCGCTGGTCATGATCAATGCGGATACCTTTGCGGGCCTGGAGGGCACCCTGATGCAGCTGAAGCTGAGCCAGAATAAGCTCAGTGGCCTGGGCAACAATCCGCTGACGCTGCCCGAGCTGCGCAGCCTGGACCTGAGCAGCAATAGCCTAACGGAGCTGAGTCTGAACATCTTTGAAGACTTGGAGAACTTGCAATCGTTGAATTTGAGCGGAAATCATTTGATGCCGTTGATGCCGGCGCTCTTCCGGCCTCTGGCCCGACTGCAGATCATCGATCTTAGCCGGTGCAGCATTCGGCAGTTCAGCGGAGATCTGCTGGGTGGGCTGCAGGATCTGAAGCACATTCACTTGGCTGGCAACCAGCTGCAGGAGCTGCAGGACGGCAGCTTTGTGAACCTATGGAACATCAGCTCGATTGACTTGTCCAACAACCAGATCAACTCGATCCGCGCTGGCGCCTTTGTCAATGTGATGCAGCTGAAGCGCTTGGACTTGCACGGGAATCAATTGTCGGCATTCAAGGGCGAGTTCTTCAACACGGGCACAGGCCTCGAGGAGTTGGACATCTCGCATAATCAGCTCAGCTATCTGTTCCCCTCCTCGTTCCGCATACACCCTCGCCTGCGCGAGATCAAGGCGGCCCACAACAAGTTCTCCTTCTTCCCGGCCGAGCTGATTGGCTCACTGCAGTACCTGGAGTACATTGATCTGTCGCACAATCAATTGAAGACGGTCGAGGAGCTGGACTTTGCGCGCTTGCCACGTCTGCGCGTGCTGCTCCTGGCGCACAACCAACTGGACATGGTCAGCGAGATGGCCTTCCACAACTCCACCCAGCTGCAGATCCTCGATCTGTCGCACAACAGCCTCGATCGCATTGGGGAGCGCACCTTTGAGGGTCTGGTGCGGCTGGAGCAGCTGAATCTGGAGCAGAACCTGCTGGCCGAGCTGTCGGACAATGTCTTTGAGCACACGAAGCTGCACATGCTGGAGAACATAAATCTGGCCAGGAATCGGTTTGAGTACGCTCCACTCAAGGCCTTGCAGCTGCGCCACTTCTTCGTCTCCTCGGTGGATCTGAGCCACAACCGCATAAGGGAGCTGCCCAGAGACGACAGCATCATGGTGAACATCAAGCGCATCGATCTCTCCTACAATCCGCTCACCATGCAGGCGGTGCACAATGTGCTCCACGAACCGAAAACCGTGAGGGAGCTCAACCTGGCCGGCACAGGCATTGAGGAACTGCAGCTGCTGGAGACGCCCTTCCTGCAGTATCTGAATCTCTCGAACAACAAGCTGCGCAACATCAAGGCGGAGGTCTTCCAGAGGGTCACGCTGCTGGAGACTCTGGATCTGTCCAGCAATAGGCTCGAGTCCCTCAACGACATATCGCTGGCCTGGCCACAGCTGCAGGTGCTGCAGGAGCTGGACGTGTCCAACAACAGTTTCGACCTCATATCCCAGTCAAACTTTGCCCACCTGGAGATGCTGCGCACCCTGAAGCTCAACCACCTGCCGCTCTGCACTCGCATCGAGAAGAACGCCTTCAAGCCTTTGGGCAACTTGGCCAACTTGGAGGCTTACGAGCTGCCCCTGCTGGGCTACCTGGATGTGCAGGGCATCATGGAGCTGTTGCCTGGCCTGGAGATGCTCGACATCGAGGTCAAGGATGCGACCATAGGCAGCGAGCAGATACAGCCACTGAAGCACCCGAGACTCAGCTCCATTGGCATCCGGGGCGAGCGACTGAAGTCCATCTCTTCTGGCACTCTGGCCGGGCTGAAGAGCAGCGACTTGACCATCAAGCTGCAGAACACCTCGCTGACTGCTCTGCCTCCAGCTCTGCTGTTCCCAGTGCCGCGCTCCTCGCACCTGACCCTCAACGTGGAGGGCTCGAAGATTGCCTCGCTGGTGCCGCAGTTCCTGAATGCCCTGGACGACCGCCGGGCCAGCCTGCAGCTGCAGGGTCTGGACAGCAATCCCATCAACTGCAACTGCGACGCACGTGCTCTGCGCCGCTGGCTGCCCAGCTCGAGCATGTCGGAGCTGCTGTGCCGCCAGCCGAGCTACCTGGCCGGCCGCAAGCTCACCGAGGTGGGCGACGACGAGCTCACCTGCGATCCGCGGCGCATGACCTCCACGTCGGCGCGCCCCTCGATGCCGCAGCTGCACAAGAGCTCCGCCTCCAGCCAGCTGGTGACGCGCACCAGCAGCAGCGCCCACACGGAGGAGCCGCTCATCATCTGGAGCATGGAGCCCACGCAGCCCACCATCATGAAGATCAAGACCAAGGCGCCACTGATGAAGGCCCAAGCGCCGATCATCAGCAACGATGACACACTGATCATTGGCATTGTCGGCGGCGTCGTCGCCTTCATTGCCATCCTCATCATCATCATCTGCATCATCAGGCTGCGCATGAGCAACGCCGAGTACCAGCAGAGCGCCGCCATGATGGGCTTGCCGGCSATGCAGCAGCAGCAGCTGGGCGCCCACAATGCCGCCTACAGCTACAAGAACGGAGCGGGTGCAGCGCTCTATGCCGTGCCCCCTTACCAGGCCAACTATGCCACGCTGCCGCACAAGGCGGCCTCCATCCATCAGTCGACGCAGAATCTCAGCCAGCGCCAGCAGCAGCAGCAGGCGCAGCAGCAGCTGGCAGTGCAGCAGGCAGCAGCTGCGGCCGCCTACTCCACTATGTCGCGCATGTCGTACTTCAGCGGTGCGGGCGCTGGCGGCGGTGCTGCCAGCGCCGATGGGGCCGAGAGCCTGACGCATCATCAGCATCAGCATCAGCCCTACATAATCTACTCGGACGACAAGGCCTACAGATAGACGTGGCCAGGTACATTCCAAGCCAGGCTCCCAGTCAACTGCAGGTCGTGGCCAACACAGGTTCTACACAATCGTCTATTCTATTCGTCGTCAGCTTATGTATCTTGTATATAGACTATAGTTCATTCTCTAAACGTATCCGTATCTTTACTTTAATTAAGTCCAAAAAATCGTTGCATAAGCGAAATAAACAAATTATAGCTAATAAATAACTGAGTGTGCTCACTTTAGATATCCATTAAAGTTACAAATACAATATTCACTCTTTATATGCAAATCTGGGAAGTTTTATACTGCTACACTGGATATTTAGAGCTGCCATCTGATTTTGGTTTTTACTCAATTTCCTTACTCTCTTCTACTCTCCGCGAGCAAGGGATCTGCCAGCCATGCGATGAGTGCGAAAGAGCGAGATGCCAGCTGTTCTAGTCCTACTCATACATACATACGTACATGCACTTACACTAGTGGGATATTTCAAACTCTCATTTAAATTTAATATTCACGCGATTTCCTTACTCTCTTGCGCTCTCCATCCTCAGCCACGAGTTGAATGTTGAAGTTGCTCTCTTAGGCGCGCATGTGTGTGTATATGTGTATGCATAAAGCAATATGCTCGTATTAAATCGTATTTTTGCATGATTATTTGGGTGTAGAGTATCAAAGCACAAGTTAGAGACGAGGCACGGACACAAGCAACGACATGTCCATTTAGTAACAGGATTTGCCAAGCTCACATTCCCATTTTCAGTTTTGCATACAGCTTTACGTTTCAGCCGTTATTATTCTAGTTTGCTTTGTCATCTCTGCCCTATGATTTATTCCATATGAAACGGTAAATGATTTTGTGATTTAACATTTTGCTTTATTTTTGAGCCCGTTTTATTACAGTCCGCAAAATATGTTTGGTACAACAAGATTTCAAAAAATGCCTATACTCGTAAATGCAAATACGTTCTCATACATATATATATGCATATATAATAAGTTCACATGTAAATGTGTAAGAAACTTCAGGGTAACTATTCACAGTCTTTGTTTTTCATCGTTTAACAAAAGAAACAAGATCATATGAGCTTATATACTAAATGATTCAACAAATTACATTTACAATTTCCGTAAATATCGTTTACCTACGGTTGAAATATACGAGAGCTTTGTATATTCATTAGTGAGTTTAAATCAAAAGTGCTCAACTTGTTTTCATGCTTATCTCAGAGCCTTACTTGATCTAAATTCTGCACTTTATCAATGACTTTTTTGTAGGTCGTATCTACGCCATTTGGGCGTAGGAATTGTGCACCTTGTAGTCTCTGCGGCGATAGTATATCATCAGTCCGTAGCTAACGAGGAGCAGGATGGCAATAATTCCTATGAGAATGCCTGTATAAATGTATAAATATAGTTATTATTATATCTTAGATCTTTCATTTAAACCAATCACCGGAAACTAAAATAGATTGTAAATAATTCAGAATTTTTCGAAAAAGAACGGGGAATACAGTACCTGTTACTGAGATAAAAGATAAGCTGTTGTAACAATACTAGGAAAATAGGCAAATACTGGGTACTAAAATAAATAATGAAAATGAAATATGGTACAGAACAGAAATGGCAGGAATTTGGCAAACGAGTAAAAATACAGGAAAATTAAATGAAAAATGAGAATTAAAACTTAAATAGAAAACTGTATACCAAATTACAAAATAGGTAAAAGAGAATCATAGGAATGTAACATAAGCAAAGTGGGAAAACAAAACACCTGAAAATTCAACAAAAATTATGATTCCAGTTCCATTAAAATAAGAAAAGGGGAAATTAATAAGTAAAGAACTAGGAGTAACATATATAACAAGTGATAGCATAAAAGATCAGGGTCATTATTGTTATGGATGACTATTAATATTACTTAAGTAAATGAAATTGGTTATATGGGTTAGGGAATGCAGAGTATCTTTCTTCGGATAACTTGCCTGTTGCAGCGCCCAGATTAGCCTCCTCGTACGTCATAGTCAGTGTCGACCGCTTGCATTCATCCGCCCAGTTCTCGGGCAAAACATCATCGTATAACTGAAACATTTTCACCAACGGACAGGATACACCACATCCGGGTATATCCAAAGGCAGCGGTTCCGCCGTTGTGTTCTTATAGAATACCGATACGAAGGGAGCATCGTTATCATCCACGCGCAATTCAAATAGTATGCACGCTGTGTAAGGCGGACTGTGCAGCTGTTATGGAACGGAGAGCATTAGTAAATATAAGTGTGACAGAGAAAATGATACGCTGGTCATCCCTGCATGAAACTGTACATCATATATTAATATCATTATATATGCTCTTACCTGGAATAGTTTGAGGGTATTCAACAAGTTGGCAACTGTCGTGTCGTGTGCACTATAAATAAACACATTCCGATCCGGTTTCAACTGCCTCTTATACTTGGTCTCCAAACGACTAAGTACATCCTTAAGCAGAGGTCCGGCCGTCAGGCGCGCCAGCTGTCGCGTATGCGTATTGATCGAGAAGGCAAAATTGGAGGCATAAGTCAGTTCGGGGCTGCCGTAAACCTTTTGCGCCCACACTGGCAAAGTCTTGTTGTATAGTGTTTCGATGAATAACGTGTTGTTAAGATATTGGGCATCTATGAATGATTTGACAACTCGGCCGCTATTACTTGACAAGTAGTAAAAGAGTTTCTTGTAGCGCGCCAACAGAGATTGGAACTGATCGGAGTTCTTAAACGTTTCCAAATAGTAGTCAAAAGCGGGACAGGGCGCCTTGGCAGCTAACATCTGTATGGGCATAATTTAATATATTGAAGACATTGGTAATTATAGTAATACGGTCTCAGCCATACCGCATCTTCCTTCTCGGGTATTGTATGCACCGGAATCGGCTGCCATTTGATTTGCGCATTCCACACATCGTCGCCAACGGGCTCGTATAGGCCAGCCAAATTGGACTCCGCACTCATTAGTGTTCGATCCACATCAGTGGACTGCACAAAAATCTGTTCATTGTCGAACTTCGTGTCCAACAATGAGCTGTACCTACTCCTGAGCCATTTGCCTAGCTGATAATGCTGCAACTTGCCGCGCTATCAGGAAAAACAAAACAGCTTTCAGTATGTGAATCACAACGCGATTAACTACTCACATTAGTCAACTGCCCCCAGCCCGTAGGCCAGTATTTCCTATCATTCCAAGGATCTGTAGGATACGGGTCAACAGGCATTCGGTCGCCATGTCTGTAAATCTGCATTGGGTCACATTTCAATTAAAACATATGGCACAAGTCATTTTTGTCGACTTACCACATGTGCAAACTTTAGCGTGCCAGGTAAGCTGGTTTGCACATCTGCACTGCCGACCTCCAAACAACATATGGAAAGTAACAAAAAGACAAAAGCCCTCAGACAATAACACGATTCGTTCGTTAACATCATCAACACTGTCTGCTTGTGTACGTATGGGTGTGCGTAGGTGCCTTTGGCTGTGCAGAAGCGCTGTGTAAGAAAACTATAAATAGTTAGGTAAACCATACTCGTTATCAGTTTAACAACTTACTTCAAATACAACAGTGTTGCTTGCCTCTCAGACATTCAACCAAATGCAAATGCAAATGTTTTTAAGCAAATGCCATTGTTGCTCGATTCCCGATGATACGAACGATTAATTTAAACAGTGCTATCGATGATATGTGACAGTGTGACCAAAATATTACAAAGCGTATAATCTAGTATTTTTCCGGTAGCATATAATTTCAAATGAAAGCAAACTCTCATCAAATTTTAAGTTTTGAATAATAATCAAGTTGTGTTTATATATGTTTATTGAAAACTGTTTTTAATAGTTTGATATTTGTTGTATTGATAATATCGTAAGTTGTCGGCCATTTGGGAAGAACATGTCACACTATTTGCACATTGCTAAAATAATAAAATATTGTTTTGCACACTTAATGATTACAATTAACATATATACTGATTGATTGGTTTGGTCTTATGGGTAACGCGTTCTTGTTATTAAATTAAAAAATAAAAACTCTTTTCACACATTATGTCTTAACTTAAGATGTTGCACGGGCGCAGTTATTGGAAAACAAAATTCGGCTATTATGTTAGCATTCACTTAGATTATATAAGGTCCATGTTTAAAAGTTACATACAGGATGACTTAACTTCAGAATCTTCTGTTGCCGCTCATATTAGGGCCGTTGAAACTGTGTAAGAAATTAACGTTATCGTAGCATATGTATCGATATTTGGGACAAGTCTTTGCTTACCGATTTCGATTTCCTGGCACACCTAAGGGCGGAAAATCTGAATGATATGCATTTGCTGCATTGCGATTGTGACTATTGTGATTGTTGTTAGCTGGTCCGTGTTTGCTAAAATTTTGAGACATGCTGCTACTGTTGGCGCCACCGCGGCGGCCACTAAAGCCACTACCACGACCGCTAAAGCCGCCCCGACTCCCATTGAACCCACCGCGACCACCGCCTTGCTGGCTGCCACTGCAACATTGACAGAAATTAGTTTACCTACAGCACTCTTCAAGCAACATGACACTCACCTGTTCATGACAGAATTGTTGCGATTGCGCTGATACATGCCGCCAGTATCTGCACTTCCACTGGGCACCATTGGACTGTTGCCAAAGCGACCTTGCTTTGCAGCAAAGGGGACTTGATGATGATGTGGCTGCTGCTGTTGATGATGATCGACAGCGGGCAGTGCAAAGCCTCGACGATCTTGCCCAATATTATGATTTGATCCGCCACTCCTCTGGCTTCTACCAGCTCCAGCTCCAATCGAACTATTGCCATAGTAATCATTGGGAGTCATGCCTTGGCTGAATTTGTTTTTGAATGGCTGCGTTGGGCCATCAAAGTTTTGGTTATGCTGTGGCAAGCCCTTGCTGTAAGGCGTACTGCGCTGCTGCCTAAAGTTTCCCTCGTTTCGCACTGGTCCGAATTGGCTGCCATTTGTGCTAGATGACCGATTACCTCTGGTAGATCGAAAACTATTGCCACTCGTGTGGCTCCCACGATTGAAGGTATTACCCCCGCGTCCTGGAAATAAATCGATCAATCAGAGTACTGAAATGTATAGGTGTCTCTTTACCTGGCATCGGTCTGCGATTGCCGGCACCGCCGCCTGCTCCACCACCACCACCCCCGGCACCGCTTACACCTCCACCACCACCACGTCGGTCTTTGGGTCTGCCCGGCTCGACGACTATGGCCTGTCCCTTGAATTCAACGCCATTAAGAGCCGCGATGGCTGCCTCGGCCATTTCAATGGTTTCCAAGTGCACGAATCCGCAACGATTCATAATATCACACTCGACCACCACGCCATAATTTGTGAACAAACGTCGCAGCTCCTCGGGCTTGCAACCAGGCGGCAAGCTGCCCACAAAGACTTTCGCGGTCTGCAGAGAGTTGACAGATAAATCCACATTATATTGGTCAACCTGTTACTGACCCTGTATTGACGGTACTTACAGACATATAGGATGCTACTTATCTTCGTGGTTTTTTTTCGCGTGCACTCTACTTACACTTTTATTTGTTATATCGTATGGCCGATTAAGGCGATTAGTGGTGATGCGATGAAAACAAAGTCAGTTGATGTCGAATATCGATAACAAATAATCGAGTACAGTTTTGTTTGTTTACTAATTTTTTGTTTTCAAGAATGTGGGCGCCCAGTAATGAAGAAACATATTTTGATAATATGGACAACAAAAAGAATGTGGTGCATATAATGCCCACCGTAGAAAAAAAAATTACTTTCACCGCCGACAGAGACTTAATGCGCGCCAAAAAAGCTTGTTTACTGTACGCCGAAAAAGTCGACTTCAAGGAGCTAATCGTAAGCCACTCTTAGAGAAAACTAGTTCTAATTGTAAATATGCAAAATATTAATGTACGTGCACTTGCAGCAATTGCGTTTGGCCGAGAAATGCGACCAACGGCGCATGTATATCACCACTGTGGACAGCGCATCCTTTCAAGAGCTGAAGCAGGATCAGTCGCTAAATGTTACATTCGCTGGCTTTATGGAAAATGTCGTGCGTATGCTGAAAGACTGTCAGGCCGGCAAACTAGAGCTGTGCCTATCTTCCAGGGAAACTATCGCCGATCAACAGAGTCACGACTACCTTCTCCAGTTCGTGGAAATACGATCCTTCAAGAATTTGGTTCATTTGTGTTTGCCCTGCCGTTCTGCTCCGCTAAACACGGTGCTCTTTTATATTAATGCGGCGCTAGATGCAACGCACAAGAAGCTCTTTTTGGTGGAGCAGAGCGCGCAGCAGCTTCAAATGGAATTAAATGCTCAGAATGCGCACATAGATCAGTTAAATTCCGATAATGCCAAATTGCGTGAAACACTGGCCGAGAATACACGCCAGCTTACTGATAAGCATTCCGCGGAACTGAAAGAAATGCAACTCGCACTGGAAAAGCTGAACGAGCAACGGAGCAATGAGTTGGAACGCAACCGACGTTCGATTGCTGGACTGCAGGCGCAATTGGAACGAATCACGTTAGAAAAGGCAGAACTAAAGACCATGCACGAGCAAGCCGAGAAGCGCACTCAGAGCTTAAACGAAGAGCTCTCCTGTTGCAAAGCGCGGATTAGCACATTAAAGGAACAGCAGGAAAAACTCCAAACCGAATTAACAACAGCTAAGAAGCAAGAGCGCAAGTTGGAATACAAAATAGAAGACTTAAAGCAGCACACACTCGAGCTACAGGAGAATATACAAAAGGGAAATAAAGAGAAGGTGAGTAAGATCTCTTCTAATTTATTTCTATACTCATTATGTTTCATATGCAGGCCAATATTGCTGCAGAGCTGGAGGCGGAGAAGAAGATTCTGCATACAAAACGTCAAGCGCTGGAAATGGCTTCTGATGAAATAGCCAAAGCGAATCAAATCATCCTCAAGCAATCGCAAGATCTGCTCACCCAGAAGAAGACAATCACATGGCGCACCGAGGTGGCGCTGCAGCAGGAAAAAGCAATAAAGGAGAAGGAAAAGCTGTTGAGCATGCAGGAAGACGAGTTGCAGCAGGCGCGCTTAACCATACAGCAGCTGCGCGATGAAATTCCACAGCAGCTGGAATCCATGCGACAATTTGCGAAGGGCCTTGAGGAAAAGTACACAACCCGTAAGTTCATCTAAATACAGATATATACTGTTTTAAGCATATATCATATCTCTTGCAGAAATACTCACGCTCAAGGCACGATTAGCCGGTGGTAAAGAAAACTCCAGTCGCAGAGCTAATCGGAAATAAGCCAACTAATATTTAGTTAGTTAAGTATTGTATAAATATGATGATTGTTAGTTAATTATTTTGAACCGTGCTTTAATTAAACAATATTTATGTCGATCGATTGTGGGCTCAATAATCTTCATCCGTATTTTTTTCCGCTTGCACTTGCGCCGTGGCCACATTTACGGCTTGGCTGATGTCCTCAAACTGGTTCATTTTCAGTCTCTCGCGTATAAGTTCGGCAATGGCTTTCTGTGTTCGCCGCTCTAGTCGTTCCAGCTTTTTGCTCACATCCCGCTTTAGATCCCAGTCCGGCTTGCGTGGAGCCAGATTCGTGATGTCTATTTCGTCGATAACCATTGGCTGCTGCAGCAAATTAAGCTGTGACTGGATGGCAGTTTCAATATCACCGGTGGGCTCTTGTGGCAGTACTTCTCCCTCTGTGGTTTCATTATGCGGCTTATAGCTTCGAAACACTGGCCTGAAACACCAAATCATTTTACTAACATGTAAACAAACAGAGTCGTACCAATCTTACTTTGGCAATTTTTCACCGCCGCCTTTAGTGTCCGTAGTCTTGGATAGCGCTTGTTCACGCAGCTTTTGTAATCGCTCCTTACGTTTCAGAGATTCCTCTGCCAGCTTGCCCAAATTGTTTTCATCATCATTAGCCATTGCTCAAATAGAAATAAACCAAAATATGGATTCTCCTTCAATGTCTCTTCTTTTACTTCGATAAACGATTATTATTGACTATCGATAGTGAAATACACGGAGGACACAAACTTTGTATTTCTTTTATACATCTGTAAAAATCATCAGTGAGCCTATATAATCTAGCCTAAAAAAATTCGATAGTCAGATTTTTCAGATTTACAAACAAAAACTAAGTGAAATTTTTCTTAAGTTCTTAGGTTAAGCAGCAGAATAATAATAGTAAAATGTTTTAAGGTAAGAGCTCGAAAATTAGTTAAATTTCCAGCCGATATACATTATCGATATGCTTGCGAATACTCAATTAGATACACAAACATTGCAAGTTGGCAGTTCCCGTTTTCCAGGCATAAGTGTGAGGGGCGAAGAAAAACAACGCAAATTTTTTACCTGAAAAATAAATAAAAACAATCACAGTTTGTATTTGCTTTTATCGCTCTGCAGATCTTTTACTATTGCCAATGAGCTAGTATTCATCAATCAAATATACAAACAGCGATATATAATAATGTAGCAGCTGCTATTGCAATTGGTTTTTGGAGTAATACAAAATTTGCTGCTGTTGCTGCTGCTAGCGAGCGCCCGTTGCTGCAGGTACATAAAGGAAAATGCTTTATTGGCTATTAAAAACTATTTTTATGTACTTAACAAAGACACATCGTGTGCTAATTTCAATTTTGTTTTCGATTAAAGGGAGCTGCAGCCACCGTCGCCGCGTCAACAACCAACTGCAGCGGCATCCACACACACACACACACAGGCGCACAGACAGAGAGAGATACATATACACATAGAGCGCCTCGCAGAACTCATTGTTCTGTGACTGTGACATCGTTTATACAGACGTCGCCTCACCCGCTGCTCGTTGCGCGCTGCCCGTTGCCCGCTGCCCGCCGTCAGTGGCCCGGCTCTTCAGTCAGCTATAGCTGTATCTAAAAATGGAGTGGACCAGAGAGAAGACATTGCTGCTGATCAGCGAGTACCGACAGCGACGCGGACTGTGGGACATGACATGCGACGAGTATCGCAAGAAGGATGTCAAACAGCGTCTACTAAACGAAGTTAGCGAAGTTCTCGGCGGTAACATACCCATACCAGAGTTGGAGAAAAAGTTCCATACACTCCGCACACAATATCATCGCGAGATTAATCGCATGAAACGCAAGGAGCCGTACAATTCAAAGTGGTTTGGCTTTAAGAATCTCGTCTTTCTTAGCTCCCCGTTTGCGTGTCGCTCCACCAAAGGCCGTTCCAAAGACAAGGACGACGCAACAGTACAAAAATATATATTGGGTGACGTGAATGCCGCTGGCACTACGGAAGGCAACAATATGAACGACGAGTATATAGTAACGCCGCGCAAATCGCACGCGAGCAGCCGAGCACAAGAGCTGGAGAAGCTGATCGAGGAGACGACCAAAGATATAGAGGATACTGAGGACGAGGAGCCCGGTGTGGAAGAGGATGTGGATACCAAACCCAAGCTAAACAAAGAGCTCAGTGGCACGTACGTGCACATCAACGAAGATGAGAGCGAGGCGGTCGAGACACATACACACCAGCAGCAACAGCACACCCATGCCCACACCCATTCCCTACCCCATGCACATCCGCACCCACATCCACATCATCATCAACAGCAATCCTTGATGGAGTTGCATCACTCTGCAAATGCAGTGGAATCAGTCAGCTTTCAGGCCAACGAAAGTGGCGAGCTCCACTACCAGTCGACATCCTCGACGCCCAACGCTGGTGGTGGAGGTCCTAGCTCCTCGGTACATGTGATGCCAACACGTATCATCAAAATACAGCGGCGCGACACGTCCAACCAGGAGAATGGGTATTTCGAGGAGCAGCAGACGCAGCATCAGCTGCATCCGCCGCCGCCCAAGCGGCTCTACTTCGATCCGAATGGCACGCACAGCACCACAATTCTATCCGCATCCACGCTGCAGACGGCTTCGCAGAACGTCAACGGTAACGGCAATGGCAATGGTGGCAATGTGTTGACCGCAACCTCCAGCTCCGGGCTAACTGCTGGCACACTGCGCCTGCCACGCGTCAATGCCATAGTGAATGCCACTTCGCTGTCACCACCAAAGCCAGCCAGCTCTCCAATACCTCAGCCGCAGTTGGCTGGGGCTAGTTCACTGCAACGGGACGAATTCGCCACGTACGGCGAATACGTGGCCAATGAGATGCGTGCCATTACCAACAGGGAGGTCTTGATCGCACTCAAGCACAAAATAAATACAGCCATATTTGAGGCGAATATGGCAGAGTTGCAAAAATAAAAGTGTCAGCCATATTTGAGAAGAATATGGCTCTAGTTGCAGCTGAGCGATACCGACGGCCATACTTGAGGCGAAGTTGCGGAAATACAATTGACAGCCGGCTTTGATACGAATATGGCGGCCATATTTGATGTTAATATGGCTGAGTTGCAGAAATTCAGTTAAATAGCATGTGGAAATATTATATTATCAACGTTTTTAGCAACAATTTAAATTAAGTGTCCAACCCCAGTAATTACCATTGTAAATCTATGTTTTAACCTGTAAATTTGACATAAATTCACATTACAAAAATTTGATTAAATAAGCCAAATATAACATTTAGTAGAATCCGAATATACACATACATTGTTCAACTATATTCACACTAAGTAGGCGACGAAACCCATTTAGCGACGAAAATTATTTTTGTATAAATTTTGGTCAAAATGACTACGAATCCAATCTGCGAACCGTTTACAAATTTCCCAGCTCGATTTGATATAGAGAAAATTGCAGAGGAATTCAAGCCGAAGGACAAAGAAAAAGATGTTGAGAAAACTCTTAGCCCGCGCGATTTTCTCAATGTTCCCGACAAGGACTGGGTTGTGTTGCCCATGTTTAAATGCCACCTGGATCATTTGAAGCCAGTTCTTTCTGTACGCAAAAATAAGTATATGCGTTGCCGTTACAGACAATTTCTGGACAACGTTCCCGAGCACTTTGTCAATGTGACATTGTTTAGTGCTAATATTAATAAGTATTTATTTTCATTTCCTTACTTGAAGAGACTCCCAATTTATATACATTAATTAGTCAGCCCAAACCAAGACGAAAATCTCTTAATGGTCAATTTTATGGTGTGGACTATAAATTGGCGCCCATACCCGTTTCAGTCGATCCGCGTGCGGCCGGCGGCTCCAAATCAGTCAAATCGAAACATTCCAAGTAGTCAAATTCAAAAAATTTAAGGTAAGCGCCAATCAGCTATCGCGCAATTGTTGTCATTATAAATAGTTATCGAACAGATACAGACTGGAGTCATCGGCACATGTGCAACTCTGACACATTAAAACTATGAGTGTTTGGCAACACTGCTCGATCAATTGAGACGAAAAATGTTTACAAAATGCATTAATTGTTGTGCTTCAATCATATTTTGTGTAATATTCGCATGCCTTTTGGTCGAGAACAGTGGTAAGTATCGCATTGAAGATAACTGTATTCTTTTTCATTCAAATAACGAATTGTTTCGACCACAGTTGCCCTGAAACGGACTCTGCGCCACTACGAAGTTTTCCACAAAGATGACATTGTTCATCGGATTATCAAAAGGGGGGCTAAACATAGCAGCAATCCATATAATACTATCAAAGAGCTGGAGTTTAAAACACTTGGGAAAAACTTTCGCGTGATTTTACATCCACATCGCGAAGTGCTGCACAGCAACTTTCGTGCCTATGCCGTAGATGCCGATGGCAACGAGACTGTAGTACACCTGGGTAAGCAAGCAATTATGCAGCTTTCGAATATCTGAGAATTGTTTAAATACTGTGATGTCGATTCCAGATCATGACAGCTTTTATACGGGTCGCGTGTTTGGCGAGTTGGAGTCATCGGTGCGCGCGCACATTGAGGATGGTACCCTGACCATGTCCATAGAACTGCCCCAAGAAACGTACCATATAGAGCCTTCCTGGCGCCACTTGCCCACAGCCAAAAAGCATACGATGGTCGCCTACAAATCTTCCGATGTTAAACTCAATCATGCTGAACCGGGTGACCAGGTGCCCAAAACCTGTGGCTATATCAAAGAGGGCCTCGAGCTGGAGGCCAAGGACAATGAGGTGCACGCGCGCGAAAAACGCCAATCAGATCAATACGAGTACACACCCACCAAGACGAGGTGTCCATTGTTGCTGGTGGCGGACTATCGTTTCTTTCAAGAGATGGGCGGAGGCAATACAAAGACAACTATCAATTACCTCGTGAGTGGCATTCGCCTTTCCCCTGCTCCTATTCATTTCGACTATGAATTAATTGCCTTACTTGTTGCTTTCAGATAAGCCTTATCGATCGGGTGCACAAAATCTACAATGATACTGTATGGCAGGATCGCTCCGACCAGGAGGGTTTCAAGGGAATGGGGTTTGTGATCAAGAAGATTGTCGTGCACTCGGAGCCAACGCGCTTGCGTGGCGGCGAAGCTCACTACAATATGATACGTGAGAAATGGGATGTACGCAACTTGCTGGAAGTAAGTTTAAACTGCAATCCGTCAACTCGATTAATCTGTAACTTGTTTGTATAGCTAAAACTTGTATATATTGTTCTACTGCTAACTCTCTCTCACCTCTCATCTCTTGCTTACCTAACATTTCGATGGTGCTTTATGTAGGTCTTCTCACGGGAATACAGCCATAAAGACTTTTGTTTAGCTCATCTCTTTACCGATCTCAAATTCGAAGGCGGCATTTTAGGCTTGGCATACGTCGGTTCACCACGCCGCAATTCTGTGGGTGGTATCTGCACACCAGGTTGCAAACCCTATCCGATCTATATATATACGCAATATAATGTGTTTATCATTATCATTTTGCTTAGTCTCCTTTATTTCGTTCTTTTCTTGTTGTATTTTTATTCTCTTTCTTTTGAATTCAGGACTCCTTGCAGAGCATATTTTGGATACCGATATCGATAGTTATATAGAGCTGACTTGATATTGATGCTGTCCACAGTTGTCTTAAATCTACTTTGGCCAGACTCGGTTTTTAGCATTTGGTTTAGATATATTGCAGTTCCATCTATCCCTATCAGTAAAATTCGCTATGATCTACATATGTAGATATATCATTCATAGCGCATTATAAATATTATTTTCCGATAGCTCAGAGAAATAATGCAGATAGAGGCCAAGTTTGCTTGCACTCTAAAAAAATTAGAAATACTTGATTCTGGATATGTATCGTATATAAAAAAAATGTGCTCTGCGCAGGGTCCAGGGTAGCTGATAGTCGGGTGAGCCCGACTAGAGTATTCTGCGTTTGATATAATTTGGCATAATTTACTTTAGCTTATCCGATTTTCTAGAATATTTGCTAATTAATGTTTTTTTTTTCTATTCCAAGAATACTTCAAGAATGGTTATACACTCTATCTGAACTCGGGTCTCAGTAGCTCTCGCAATCACTACGGCCAGCGCGTGATAACGCGCGAGGCTGATCTGGTAACTGCTCATGAATTTGGACACAATTGGGGATCGGAGCATGATCCCGATATACCCGAGTGCTCGCCCAGTGCCTCCCAGGGTGGCAGTTTTTTAATGTACACCTACTCTGTGAGCGGCTACGATGTGAATAACAAGGTAAGTGAACAGAATTTATATATGAAACATATGTATATATATATATAAATAATAATGGCTTACGCTTACAGAAATTTTCACCCTGCTCGCTGCGCTCCATTCGCAAAGTTCTGCAGGCGAAGTCTGGACGCTGTTTCTCGGAGCCGGAGGAATCCTTCTGTGGCAATTTACGCGTCGAGGGCGATGAGCAGTGCGACGCAGGATTGCTGGGCACCGAGGATAACGACTCGTGCTGCGACAAGAACTGCAAGCTGCGTCGCAATCAGGGCGCCATGTGCAGCGACAAGAACTCGCCCTGCTGTCAAAATTGCCAATTTATGCCAGCGGGCATGAAATGTCGCGAAGCTCAATACGCCACCTGTGAGCAGGAGGCACGCTGCACCGGCTCCCATGCCGAATGCCCCAAATCTCCAGCCATGGCCGATGGCACCATTTGCCAAGAGCGCGGCCAGTGCCGCAATGGCAAGTGTGTGCCCTACTGCGAGACGCAAGGCCTGCAGAGCTGCATGTGCGACATCATCGTCGATGCATGCAAGCGATGCTGTCGCATGAGCATCAACGAGACATGCTTCCCAGTTGAGCCACCCGACGTACTGCCCGATGGCACGCCCTGCATAACTGGCTTTTGCAATAAGGTACACATATTAATGATTGCTATGATTGCTTCGACTCTGTTGCCATTGTCAAGTGAATGCAGTTTGAGATAAACTGCAACTAGAGCTGATGCCTTCGTTCTTTCTGATAGCCATACAAAAAGCCTTCACTTCCCTCATATCTTCTTATAAATCTTTTTCAGGGTGTTTGCGAGAAGACCATTCAAGATGTAGTTGAACGGTTTTGGGATATTATAGAGGAGATAAATGTAGCCAAAACGTTGCGTTTCCTCAAAGACAACATAGTCAGTAAGTAAATGTTACGATGGCCTTATAAATTTGCAAATATATATGTATATTTACGACATACTTGCAGTGGCTGTTGTCATGGTTACGGCTGTCTTCTGGATACCCGTCAGCTGCGCCATTTCATATTTTGACCGTAAGAAGCTGCGTCATGAAATGAAACAAATCGAATGGAGCCACAAATTAGATCTCATTCACCCCAGCGACGAAAGGCGTCGCATCATACATATACGGTGAGCCGATCTATATATTCTATATGCAAACTATATATAATTATACGATTCTCTGTGCATTTGCAGCGTACCGCGGCAGAAAATCTCAGTAGCGCGCGCTTGTAATTAACATAAAATTTATGGTGGCGGACAATTGTTTTATCTTCCGTGAGCATTCTTCTCAAAACTGCCACAATTATTTATATAAATTAAGTATAACATTTAAAGAATATGAATAAAATTCCCAATAACATAGACCAATACAAAACGCCATATGCAAATATTTCATGTCCTAAGGTTTCTCGATAAAAAACCATCACAACTTTGAATTTAACAATGAAAATAATGCATATTATAATGTATATAGACTATAATACAATTAATGAAACATGAATTCATTTCGATGTGTTTTGGATTGTTTTTGTTTATTCATACTTTACCAAAAATATGTTTCTTTCAGAGTGTTGCAGCATTCTGTTATTAATTATGATTGTTTTTTCTTTTCTTTTATATAGTTTGTATATTAGCTTAATTTCTTGTTACTGTGTATTACTTCTTTTTATTGCTCTTTCCATTTGTTTGTGGAGAGCAATCGTCCTCAGCCTCCAGCTCGCTGTCATCTTCATCATCCGAATACTCCTCGTACATTTGACCATCGTCATATTCACCCAAGTTCATTTCCGCCTTTAGAAGTGATATAATTTACTATTTGAACATTTTACAATAACAGTTACGGTTTACCTTGCCGCACACATAGACCGGCCCCGTGCCCTGGACAAGCTTAAATGTGACAGATCCATTGGGGAACTCAACATTTGGTCGCAAGCTGCGAGTTTCTCCAACCTTCAGAACAGCAATGGGAATTTTGACTGTCTTCTTCTCGCCGTCGTCGTTCACGTTCGTTTCCGCCTGCAAATGGGCGAGTAGTTTTTTGTTATACGATATTCAAGCACTACCTCTCACAGCCGCTCTGCCCCCTTTTGATCAGACAGAGCTCTATCAAAGTGTTGGTCAGTGTTTTTCCATACCTGAACGACGTTGAATTCGCCGGACTTCGCCTCAGGTCCCAGGGATATCTGTTTGATGATCAGCTTGTGTGAGTGTACGATATACTCCTCTGGAATTTCCGGCACATCGAATTGTGCAATTGGCTCCTTTTCACTGAGGGTAACACCTAAAAGAATAATAGCCGTTAAATATACATACATATACATATGCTTATACATATATATTTAGTCTGCCGGTAGTGCTGTGTAAGCCAACTATTGCATGCAGCATTCAGCCGCTGGTAGACTTTAGCAATTATTTTAGTTTCATTACCGTAAAAAGACTCGGACTCCATTTGTAAGCTCGTAGACACGTTCTTGTACAGTTCAATTAAAAAGTTTACGAAAACTCTACTTTTCACACGTGCCCCGTGCAATGGCGATAGCTAAAGAGTCAAACGCGGCTGGAATGATGCCAGGCATTCATCGATGATATCGATATAGTCAGCTGCCGATAGTTCTTGTTTATGCGAACTATTTACTGAAAATTATAAACAAAATAATTTGTTCAATTCAAGCATTCAACATAAGGTACAAGATATCTTTTTCATTGAATAAAAAAGTAGCGAAGAAATAAGTACGACTGTATCTTGCTGTTAATGCCAGTAAATCTGGTAACGCCAAGAATGGTTAGCACATCTCTATCGTGAGTTTCATCCCTAATTAGTAGCTACCATTTTGCAAAAGTTTTTGCTCAACACGTGCTCGGCGCTTGAATTTTGGGTTTTAAACTATATCAAATAATTGCAATGGCAGAGGAATCATTCTATGGTAAATATAAATTAGCGGCGAGCGGGTTGCGTATTATGTGAGCGACTGCAATTGGACTATTTGCACCGTGCTGGCCTGGGTTGCCGGCTGCCGGCATTTTTATTCAAGGTTGCGGATGTTCGTGAGTGTGTGTGTTCATTGGTGCATATGTGTGTGTGGGTATAGCATGCGTACACGAGAATAAATTGTCTCTGTGTGGTTAAACGTTTAAGTAGTTGTAATTTGATTTTTTCTAAATCCACAAGTAACATGTTTAATTTTATTAGGTGTTACCCTTAGCGCGGAAAACAACAGCGTCACCTGGGACGTTGTCGCCGAGGAGGACTATGCGCGAGGCCAAAAGCTGGTCATCAAGCAGATTCTGCTGGGCGCCGAGGCAAAGGACAATGAATTCAACGTGGTTGAGGTAAGTGCGCCAGTGCAAATCAAATGTGTGTCTGCGTGTGAGAGCAAGTATATGTGTGTCCGTCTGAACATGAGAGTCTGTTTGTGAGTGTGTGTGTGCGTGTCTGCGAATCTCTTATTGAGTTTGAGGCATGGACCAGACCGGTTTGAATTCTTTAAGCACGCGCAACATTTTGCCGTGGGCAAAGGGTAATTTTGTCTGTATCTGCAATACGCGCCCTTTGTTATCGTTGTTTGCATATCTGTGACGTCATAAATGCCCAAAAGTCTGTTTTTGCCTACAATCAAGCTTCGAATACCCTCTAATCAAATGTAGCTGAATAGAGATGGCAATGCTCACATCAAGAAATACTTAAATTACTATTATACAAAATTAGTAATATGAAAATTTAAGCATAATAGATCAAAAGTATAGATTTTTTGTTGCAAATATATTTATATCCTTAAACTATTTATAAATAATGTCWTAAGACATTTCCAAGCAAACTTTGAGCTTATCTGATATGAAGTACTTGTGGCACATATAGCTCATATCTAGCACTTCGTACAGGGTATTATCGGTGCAACTACTTGCCATTCGCAAAATGTAACTGTACAAAACAAAACACATTTCATTATTGACTTAAGCGTCATGAAATTTGATCAACTTGACTGCTGTCAGTGTGACAGTTGTTGCCGTTGCTGTTGCTGTGGCTCTTGTTGTCACTCTCACTCTTGCTGTTTCCATTGGCCACCATTTCTAATAGCTCGGAAAAGTTTTTGGTGAATCTGAACATGTTGCGAGCCTTCCTCTGCAGTCGGCAAACGACGCCCGCCGCTGCCATATTCCAATTCCAGCAGATAAGCTCGCACTGCAGCTGCTGTAGATCGTCCCGTAAAGATACCAGATTCTAAATGGCAAAAGTCAAATTATATATTATTGATATTATATATGGCTATAAGTCTACAAGTCAACTTGCCAGCGCAACAGTTGAATCGATTGAGCCAATATCTGAACCTTTGATGATCACCAATGCGACAGTTTTCTCCATCATTGTCTTCTGCTCCGTCACGAATGCCACGGTTTTTATGTTCAATGACTCCGCTGCCGTGTAGTCCACGTTACCCTTTAGCTCAGCCACGCACAGTTCGAGGCCGTTGTGCTATTTGGTATTGGGGAATTGGTAACAAATTGAAAGTGAAATTGCAAATCACGTGGTGTTGCCATATTAATCTTACTTTTTGTGATTCAAGCTGAAACTGTGGCGTCATACTCTTGCCCAGTATGAAGAGCGCATTGATAAGGACGCCCACCAGCATGCCGTACTCCAGGGACCAGAACAAACAGCAAATCACGGTGAACACAAAAGGCACCATGTCGCGTTCTATAGGTGGACAAGGAGGGAAATTAAGGATTTAGTTAGAAACATGGTCTAAAATAATGCTAGACGTTTATAGACTTGATTAGGTATCGTCTACGCTATGCAATGCGAATTCTGGGTATATAGATTTTGTGAATCTGTGTTTCTCTGTGCAAACTATATGCATATATACTCTCCCAATCTCTGTCTACTCACTCTTTGCACGCCAGATCTCAGCTATTGTGTCGTACTCCACCATAAACAACATGGCTGAAATGATGATGGCTGCCAGTGTGGCTTTGGGCAAGTAGGCAAAGACCTGGGTCAAAAAGGCGAGAGACAAGAGTATCAGAATACCCGTAAAGGCACCGCCCAGTGGGGTTCTGACACCGCTCGCATTGTTGATTGCCGAACGAGCAAAGGATCCCGTTATGGGTATCGATGAGAAGAAGCTGCTGAAGAGGTTGCAAAAGCCCAAGGCAATCATTTCCTGTGAAGCATCCACAATCTTGCCCTTAGCTGCAAATATAACACATATAATAATAAAATATATAACATGTTGTTGGGCTTACGCACAGAATGCTTTGGCAATTGAAACAACCTCCAATATGCAGAGTAAGGGTATTGTGCCCACGGCGCTGCCCAAGTTCGATATCATCTCGCCAAAGCCAACAGTCTGACCTTCTTCATCTACAGTTTCGAATGGCGGTGCACGAAAAGGTGGTAAACCCGGCGTTATTTGCTGGCTGATGCGAAATGGCATCTCCTCGCGCTCCCGACTCATCAGATAGCAGATTAGAATGCCAATGATGACGGCCAATACGTTGCGACAGAGCGATAGATATTTAAGCACCGATTGACAGCTGCAGGACTTGAGATCCTTGAGTTTCTGTTGACATATAAATACGACTTATTGGCATTATCACTGACCATGATCCATAAGCAATCCCAAACTTACCCTCATGAACAGCAGCAGAATGAGTGTGCAGCAGCCGAGTAGCGCGTCATTCAGTCGCGTCTCTTGTATGTGACCAAAGAAGTTAATCCACGACTTGAGAAACTCATTCGATTGGCTTTGTATGCCAAAGAGATTGTTGATCTGACCGCTGCCCACAGTCAAGGCGGCTGACAACGTAAAGCCCGCTATCACTGGCGCCGAAATGAAACGCACCAGCACGCCGAGATTCAGAAAGCCCAGCACCAAAACAATGCAGCCCGTTAGAAAGCATATTAGGACGGCATAGTCTGGATTGCCGGCAACATGTGGATTGACCATCATAGATATTATGGCTGTGGGACCTGTTCATTTGTTGAAATAACTAATTATTAAGGTAATACAGTTTTAAACCGGAATCTCCAAATGAAGTCATCATCGATAAATACCGATTTCCCAATTATCTTTAACCTTCTGTTTATATACAGCTTTTGTAAAAGACTTGTTAAATCCCACCCATATTGATTCGGACATAGTTGGACTCTTATATCGACTTGTTTAACCCTAGTCCACTTATATGGTCTTACTCACCCACTGTAACGTCCTTGCAGGTGCCGAAGATGATGTAGAGAAAGCAGCCCATAAATGACGAGTATAGACCATAGACTGGGGGCAGTCCGGCGACGGCGCCATAGGCAATAGCCTGAGTCACAGCCGTTAGGCCGACGGTCATACCCGCTACGAAATCGACAATGAGGAATTTCAGGGTATATTCGGGCAGCCAAGTCAAAATAGGTAGTTTGCGCTTGACCGTATTTATGCTGCAACAGGCTTTCGACTTTTCGCGCATAGCTCCGCATACGTTGGGCAGGTGCTCGTGATAGAGCTCATCTGGATAATAGGGCACGTGACAAGAGATAGAGAGAGAGAGAGGGCGTTGAGGGAGTAGTACTTGAATTTTGATTAAAAGCCGCAAATGATTTGGCCACGCTCGCTCGCCTTCTTATCTAGTTGACAATGCTTTAATAATATTTATTGAATTTCACTCTAATCGAAGTGAAGTGGGCCACAACATGTTAGCTCTACCGTCTACTTGTCTGACACAAATTAAAGATCCTCTGTGCTAGATTGAGATTTGCCGTATATCAGTATCAATTCCCATGAAATATTGGTAAATTTCCATTGACAGATTATTTATGTTTTTAGGGGTTTAATCGATTTAGATAATGTTGTGGGCGCTATCAATACTTGAGGAAGCTAGTAATATATTTTCTTTAACGTTACAATCGGAACAAGGGATTAATGTTGAATGACATTAATGTATCTACTGTGAAATGCTTATGTGCTCTTTCAATTACAATTAACACGATTATAATTGAAATAATTCTTTCGGGTAGAGAACATCCATTTAAATGGGACTTCGCCTGATATATAGAACTGTAGCTATTGCTGAAGAACTTAAGACTTAAAATTTATTAGGCAAGTATTTATTAATTGAAAGTAATTGATAAATCAATACTAAATAAATGTCAAATCCAGCATATATCGCACACTTTCATAGCTTCAAGCATACACAAAAAAATTTTCCCTGAATATACACCCAAAATTTTCTGTATGTTCTTGAACCATTTTTGTTGTCTTTTATCATTCCACTTTTATATCTGAAATCCTTTCACTGAAACTTTCTTGAAAATCGATAATGGGATCGAAAAATAGATTAAAAATCAATATCAGAACCTTATGGATAATATATGGATCCACCTTCGGCATAAGCAGATGGATATTAATTGTCTTTATTTATTTTGTAACTAGTTCTTAGATGAAGTGATATTTTAACCATTGTTGAAGGCTTTCTCTAGTGATTTCACACATCATAGTTATATTTAGGGAACTTCTTATAATGATATTATGGAGATTCATTTCGTCCACACTATCATTTACGTACATCTATAATTATATTTGTATTTCTTTCTCGTAATATTTGCATTATGAATTAGTATTCTCTCCCGTTTTTTAGAAAGCTGTTGGCTAATTTGAAGTTGATTTTAATTGAATTTCTATTTTGCACTCTAACAATTATAGCTCACTTATCAAGTATTGGAACGTACCGTCATAGTCACACATAGTTTGCACCGTTATATTTTGCACTTTACGCGTTTCTCTCCTCGGGTACTTCACACCGAGTGGATTTTTTATTAGAAACTGCTCGACAAGTTGTTAAGAAGAAAGCACGTGCTTTTCGATTTGTGGGTTCTCAAGTGGAAGATTGTGGAGCAATTGCTTTGCGATGTTGTCTCTGCCAATGCAGAGCGTCGAATGCTCGACAAGGTATCTTTGCTCCCGTATATAGGGGTATTGGGCTATGCCTACGATTTGTATCTCTCTGTTTTGTTTTTTAAGTTCTGGTTATCTCAGTTTTTCAATATTGCTGCAAGCGATTGAAATCAGTTAACGCTAGCTATACATAATGTATATGACAGCAGGCGTTGATATTTCTCACGCTGATGGGCAGTGGGAGGGGAGGTGGAGCGTGACTTTGATTGACAGGTCAGAAGTCTTATCGATCCTGGTAGCGAAGTTCAAATACCCTGGCAGGCAGACTATGCAGCCTTGCGATATACATGAATTATCTCATTAACAAAACATACATAAATACTTTAATTGGATTATAGACGTGGAGCTTTGGGGGATGTAACAGTTGTTAAGCGACATTTCCCTACAGGCATAGGCATTTTGCATTGTTGTAATTATAAAGTAGTTAACGATTTGCGTATTTGACATTCTTACTCCACTCTTACTCTTACTCCAAACTAATATGCTCCGCTCTCTCTGTTTTGAAAGAGTATATTAAATGACTTGTCTAATGCAGCAGAAGCCTATCTATAAACCGCATATCTCAAAACTTGGCTAGAATTAACTCAAGTTAACTGGAATTCCCCAACTATCTCAGCATTCGCTTATCTGTATATTACTAATTTTTTCCGTCTTTCCCTCTGTCTCAACAGGTGACCACAATGAAGGATTCTGTACAGATTCCCATTGCCGTGTTGAAGGCTGGTGAGACACGAGCCGTCAATCCCGACGTTGAGTTCTACGAATCGAAGGTGACGTTTAAGCTAATTAAGGGCAGTGGACCCGTCTATATACACGGCCAGAATATCAAGGACGATGTTGAGGTTGTGGATATGGAAGAGGAGGACGATGAGGACGATGGCGAGGACGATGAGATTGAGCATCCAAAGAAGCGCGCCAAAATCGAGCCCAATGCCGATGGCAAAAACGCCAAGAACCCGAAGAAGAAGTAAATCGCAATCAATGAAGATGTGGAAGAAAGATGTCTCTAAGCTAAATCTGTAGATTTTAAAAGTGTTTTAGGCCCTATAAACAATATACATTTACAATACATAACATAACATAAAACCATACGATACGATATGTAAAACTTGCAACATATATATTACAACCTACTATTTAGTTCCTTTCTCTGAGATTCTTAAAATCAGCAACAACATTCAATTCACGCACTAAAGTACTATAACTACTGATGATGTATACAGACTACTAACACCTATCCAATAAGCCAAGTTGTGAAAACAGCAAATAGAGAACTCCAGCGACTAGTGGGCGCGCCTTGAAGCACATATATTTGTATATAAGTACTTTACAAAACGGTTATAACTTCAGTCCCAGATGCGCCTTAAACGCTGTCCTCGATTTTTATACATCAACAAAGGAAATAAACAGAAACTTATAAAAAACTAAACTACGGAATGTTTTAATTAAATAGTTTGGCGCCATCTAGCGCTCACTTTACGCAGCTGTCATGCTGCAACAATTCTGATGTTGAATAGAAAAACGAAGGTTGAAATGGGTGTTCAACCAAGAGATACCCTATTTCCTCAGTTTAGATACAGTATGCCAGATATGATATATGGCAGCTATGCCAAATTGAAGTTGAAACGCAGTTTATAAGGAGTATCCGACTACGAGATACCCTCCCTATGATGAATGGAAGAGCGCACTTTATGCAATAGTTAGAAATTAGGTTAAACGTAATACATCATGCTTTACATAGTATTTTTATACTCATTCACGAAAGTGAATCAGTATATTGGTTTTGTGCAATGTCCGTCTTGCTGTCCGTCCGTCTGTCCGTCTGTCCGTCCGTCCGTCTGTCCGTCTGTCCGTCTGTCCGTATGAACGCAATCTATTTCGGCGCTATCGAAGCTAGAGACTTGAAATTTGGAGCACATACTCGTGTATATCTCCGATTTATAAAGTGTTAAAATTTTCCCGATCCGCCCACTAGGGGCGTGGCAAATTGGAAAAGCCTCTATATTATACAGTATTAGAGTGAAACTTAACTATAGTTGATGGGATGTGAATGAGTATTCCGCAGTCGGTAACGCCCGACTGCAACGTTCTTACTTGTTTATATATGTATTTCTCATTTAGGAAGTCAACAAAAGATATTCTATGTGAGCCCAATTTTTACTGTAAATATCATTTGAAAATATCGATACTACAAGAAAACCAATGTTGTGCAATAATTTATATTTCTGAGTAAACTGCATTCACACATTCATACCCGCATCTGAATTCTGATCTAGAATACAAATATATATGTAGATGCTTCAGGAGATTCCGACCAGGTCAAATGAAAATATCCGCTTACAATTTACGAAGTTACATTTCCTTTAATGATTTTCACTTAGTTGATTTTCTTAGCCATACAGACGAAAAGTTCCGGATGTAGAAAATTGAATGCCTATGAAAAATGTTCTTAGCCATTCTAATTTCATATTCAAAATATCTTCAGCTAGGATTAAACGTTGCAGTTGCAGTTGCAATCGCTGTTCCCGTCGCGGCTTCCATTAATTGCAGTGTTTGGGGCTGCGAGGCTTAGGCGGGACTGGGCATCACCTTGATCCGCTCGAAGGCTGCCTTCTCCAGCGCCTCGCGGTGCTTGGGGTCGGCGACCTGAATCAGTTCGTACATGCGCTGGCGCACATTCTTGCCAAAGAGGGAGGCAACGCCGTGCTCGGTGACCAAGTAGTGGACGTGAGCACGAGAGGTAACAACACCAGCTCCTGAGGGATTGCGAATGGGAGAAAAGGGGGGCATTAGTAAGAGGATCTGGGGCCGTTGCGGACTTTACTTGACTTTACCTGGCTTAAGCATAGGCACAATCTTGCTCTCTCCTTTGTTGGTGGTCGATGGCATGGCTATGATTGGCACGCCCAAGCCATCGAGGGCTTCTGCTGCACCGCGAATGAAGTCCACTTGACCGCCGAATCCTGAATAGAAACGTGTGCCAATCGAATCCGAGCACACCTGACCAGTCAAGTCCACCTCGATGCAGCTGTTGATGGCCGTCATGCGGGGCTGCTGCTTGACAATGCTCGTGTTGTTCACATAGTCAATGGCCAACATCTCTGCAAAGAATTACAGCGGATTAGGGAGTCTATATAGCCAATAGGAGTTTAGGTCTCTACCGATGAATGGATTATTGTTGACAAAGTCGTAAAGGGCCTGATTGCCGATCAGGAAGGAGCCAACGATGCGACCCTTGTGCATAGTCTTTCTGCTGTTGGTCACGCAGCCTTTCCTGACCAGTTCGACGACGCCGTTGGCGAACATCTCGGAGTGGATGCCCAGATCCTTGTGATTGTGCAGTGAGTTCAGCACAGCGTCCGGAATGTTGCCAATGCCCATCTGGAGTGTGGCGCCATCCTTCACCAGGTTCTCGGCAATCAATTTGCCAATCTTCTTCTCCACCTCCGACAGCTCGCCGGTGCCGTGCTGAGGTAGTTTGTCGTCCACCTGAATGGCGAAATCGAAGTGCGACTTGTGGATGATGGAGTCGCCAAAGGTGCGAGGCATATTGGGATTGATTTGAGCTGCAAGCAGAGGGCAGAGGTACAGGTAAATATATATATCTATATATGCATATGTATATGGTAGGTATGAATTCCTTACCAACAATCATCTTGGAATGCAGCAGCGCAGTGCGAACGCAGTCGACGCTGGTGCCCAGCGAGCAGAAGCCGTGGTTGTCTGGCGGCGACACGTGGATGAATGCCACATCGGGCTTCACCAGTTTCTTGGAGAAGAGCAAAGGAATCTCATGCAGAAAGATATGCATATTGTCGCCACGCCCCTCGGCAACGGCCTTGCGAACATTGCCGCCCATGAAGAAGGAGTTCGAACGGAAGATGCCCTCGTACTCGGGCTTGCAGTACTCGGCCGGTCCCTCCGTATGCATGTGGCATACCGTCACGTTCTCCAGTTTGTTGCACTTGCCGTGCTGTGACATTGCGTTGAGCAACGCCACGGGCGTGGCAGCAGCACCCTGCGCGAAGACTGTGTCGCCTGTAAAGCAAATGGAATTGATTAGAATACAAAAACTTATTTGTGATTGAGATTGATTGAATGCATTTGAAAGTTTCGAAAGTCTTAAGTCATAATAGTAAACTATATCCCCTCTAATGCAATTTATCTGATTGATTGATTGACAAGCTAATTGATCAATAGCCTGATTAATATTAATATTAGAAAATGGCACAGACAGTGAATACCTCACAAAAGAACTTTAACATATATGACTAAGTGCTTGCGTTGATTCTTGGCTTGATTGATTGAGTTATTTTAAATGTTTAGTCTGAAACAAATTTATTTTGCAAAATGTTTTTTAATTTAGACTGATTGTCGCTCTAATTGAACAGTTGATTACTGTGTTAGTAGCTACATTTATCTTTAATGACTCTTCACTTAATGACTTCATTCATTAAACGTTAAACAAATTTAAATGAAGAGAATCAATTGACTCAATTATGAACTTCAATTCAAGTCTAAGCTAGATTTGTATTTCGCTGATTGATGAATTTGCAATTTGATAATTGACATCCTTTAATGGCTATATTTATTTATGATTACATAGACACATTCTATAAATGTGGAGTTGTAAAGGGACTTATGAATATAGCACTTCTTCAATCAATCAAATGGCCTAGGAAGCACCACTTTTATTTTTAGTCATGTTTAGAGAGTGCGCACTGTACTTGATACGATACGACTAGTTGGCCTTGCTAATCGTCCAAACGATCAACGAACTTACAGTATACGCAGAGATACACACAAACACAAATACGCATACACTTGTATATGTATGTGAAGTTGTAAGCATGCCAATTTTCTATTTATATGGCGCCCTACGGATGCAAAATTCTGTCAAAACGTTTCGCTTCCTTATTTTTGATATCTTAGGTCAACAAGAAAAAAAGAAAGTGTATACATACATATATGTCTATGTGTGCATTCTGCATGTGTGTATTCACCTATTCAGATATGTGTATGTACATTTATATAAACTACAAGTGCTTGATTTTTTTCTCTCTCTCTCTCTCTCTTTAATAAGCTTTTAAAGGTTTTTTCTCTCTCTCTCTCTCTCATTATTCAAGCTTATCGAATAACCGCCGCACGCATGTCATGCAATCGCCTACATAACAGCTGCGTACCTGCCTCAAAATGTTATCGAACCGAACGATGCCGCGTAACGCCAAAAAATAAAAAAGAATTTAAAATGACAACAACAAGAAAAACTTTTCCAAACGATATGACGTAGTTGATTTAGCTTTGCTCGTGCTGTGCAAATTGATCTAAATTTAGAGCGCCAGTGCTAACCGATGTTAGATCGCAAATGGAAGAAGCAGAAAAAACAGTTGAATAATAATAAACAATATTAGTTTAAAACGTAAATAAACTGTACATTTTTGCAGAAGGCGTGGCAGCTTGAATAACTAGTTTCATTAGGATTGATAATATTCTTCTTTCTTCTGTTAGCTCTTGCGCAACTTGTCGATTGGAATTAATTGAATCAAAGCTAAATTAGTATGAACAATTTGGCAAATATTTGGTATGGGGAGCTGTATGTTATCAGTGCTATAGCCCCGCCCACATGGAAGCAGCCAATAAAATGCTAATGCGAGTGCGAATGCCGCAAAACAGCAACTTATGATGTTGTTGCATAATGTCCAACATGCATGTATTCATTATAGCGGTTTCAGTTTATATATTTATTAAGATTGCGCTTATCAGCACAGCTGTTAACTGCCAGCCAAGACGCGAGCGACTGTGTTATGTATATGTTTCAAGTGTGTGTGTGTGTGTGTGTGTAGTGTTTCTTTTGTGTGTGTGTGTGTGTGTGTGTGTGTGTGTGTGTGCGTCTTCAAGTTGAGCTTCTCTCGCAGGGAGCTGAACAGCTGGACAGAGTACAAAGTACACGCCACTATTCAATCGTGCTCAACACTGTTTTCATATAACAAAGCAAGAACAACAACTGCAGCTCCTATCGGCTGATCTACAGTGGAATTATGCATACATTATGTATAGATTAGAATAGTGGATTTTGCATAC